GAAGGTCTCATTCCTGTATTATCTACTACTTCACAAGGAAAAGGTCGTCAAGAAGAGTACGTTGAATGCTCAGTGGGCATATGATGAGTTCAGACTCAGAAATAAATAGCAACCTTGCAATTGAATCTCCTATGTTCACCATTTCTCATTTAGCTAATTGAGAGGGGGTCTGATAAGCGCTAAGATTAAAGACACCAACGGCACATCGATGGTACCCGCTTGACTAGAATCCTAGTGACGTAGCGAATTTTGAGTACGCATCTCTTCGACTATATTTCTGTCAGGGCAGTAATCAAATACATGGGGAGGAGGAGCAGTAGAGTAAGTTGTGAAAAGATTGACTTCGTATATTGACCCGAATAAAAGTCCTTCAGCTAGGATTCGAGAACAGAGAACAGCGAACAATCTGAAAGACACCCTGTGGCACTGAGTATACCGCCTGAAGTATTGAGGTCGGCTCAGCTGCTGCGTGCTCTGAAAGTATAAAAGCATTGACGCATGTGAGCGAACCAACTGGCCAGACCTTGCTGAATGGCATAGAGTGTTTGGCCATACCAGATGTGCTGCAACCTGAGGGACACTGAAAACCTGAGTGTAGGTAAATGTTCAACGATTGCGTTAGCAGGTCCAAACACTCCATACACCATTCTTTCGTTTGTGGGATATGGGAGCGGGCGCATATTATATGACGGCCTTAAGAATACGAGGTCGCCAATTAGAAAACATGGAGAACTTGGAAGCAGGACGTTGATTAATAAGAGGTTTATCGCTCATCTAGGTCGCCAAAAATACTTCAAGAGAATCCCGTTGATCCACGAATTGCCTGCTGACGTTTTAATAGCCTCTTCTACCTCTCATCCTTGTGATGGCAAAAGAGTGGCATAATGATCTTTAAGCTTTTGTATATTACCTGAAATTGTATGTGTTGGACGTCCAATAGGAAGTATAGATTCCGCCTTAGGTATAGTTTACTTTCTGCAAGCTTTCAGCATTGCTTTTACCATTACATCTAGAAGAGATCGCCTAGGGTTACAGTTAGGTTGCTGCAGCCACCTCCAAAGAGTGATGACCCAATGCTAGAGGGAATGACAAGGAAGCATTTCTTCTGAGAATGGATATCCTACACCTTCAGTATTTGCAGCGAATCGTGGCTGAAAGTGTCTAATAGCGTCTTCCTTCAGTGGAGGGATGACACTCCTCCGAGTGTGCTACCGCGTCGCTCGAGCAATGAAAAAAAGCAACCACGAAAGGTAGCCCCCGGGGCTCGAGGTAAGAGCGGAACTTCAGAATGTCTGCGACGGACCCCAAAATAAGCTATATGCTCTCCAGTTGATGTGTAGCAGTGATCGAGTGACATTTGTCATGCAACGCGAGTACTTTAGGGTATAAAGGATTCTGTTGGCGCGAAACGATAACTGCTGACAATCAGTGCAAGCACTCATTTAGCTCCTATGATTGAACATGTTCTCTGGTAATTCTTTCGTCCTCGTAACTCATTCTTCGCAATATTTTCAGTCGGCGAAATTTGGAGAACATGGAAAGCTGCAGAAGAGTGAGTCCTTAATAGGATAGATTCCGCGATGGGGAACCTTCTAACATGCGGACCGTAGTACGTTCGAGGAAGCAGTGGAGCCACATATATCGATTTGTTTTGAATATCCTCCCACCTAAGAGAAGTCCGCTGCGGGCGAGATGATTGGTGAGACTTTGATGTTCAGCTCTTGAGTAGAGAATTCGATGTCTCCTACGTGGTAAGTAATCTACAATAACGGCTTGTGTTAATGTTGCGTGTGAGTTCATAACTTCAAACTCGACTTTTGATTTCTGTTCAATCATCCGTCCTGTATTTTTTTTCAGGCATTCTCCTGAGTTGAACGTTCTTGCGCCTGATTCTATCCGTGAGCAGCGTCCGCACGCTATTATCGTTCCTTTTTCGATAGTCCTTCATTGGTGTTTCTGTCGTATTAGTCATCCCTTACCTGTCTCCGATTCCCCCTCCTTAGCGTGGCAATGCTTTTTGCGTATGATATTGCTTGCGTCTAGTCTTTTTCGTTGCATAGCGCGAGATGGTGGTCAAGATCGTTTTGGAAGAGAACCCGTGCAATAATTTCTCGATACTCTCGCACTACTAATAGTCTCTAGTCTTGTATTTCGTGATTTTCGTGTAGTCAACATTTGACTAAGGCAGTGTTTGCAAAAAAAAAAAAAAAAAAAAAAAAAAAAAAAAAAAAAAAAAAAAAAAAAAAATGTTTAATGATCTGCAATCCGTTCCGCTTCTCAGCCGTGGGCATGAATCCGAGAAGTGATGTCCACTCGCCTGAAAGTTTTTTTTTTAAAGTAAATAAGTAATATAAGTTCTGCGGTCTGCACTCAGTCTTCTGAACCGGATTCCCCTCTATTGTGCCTTTACCGCTCTAGCTCTACTCGCTTTGATGCGCAACAAAATATATTATTCAGCGCAAAATGCTGTGTTTCGAAAAATCCGACAGTCAACATAATCAATGTTCATTCCAGGTACTGCATACAAGCTTTGTTAGATCCATTCTCTGGTTATGCGATCCTCTAGTTGTTGCTTGCATCTGTAGCCAGGCGGTTATTGATCTCCGTTGGTCTTGATCTCGACACCAGCATAAATGCATCCATCAATGAAAGCATATAGTGAGTTGAAATTCGATAACAAATAAGGTTTCGCCCAAGACAACAAAGGCTAGGAATACTTTTTTTATCAGAAGTCTATCGTGTGCTAATGCTTACTCTTCGAAAGCACGAAGTAAGAAAAATTCATTTCGATGGGGTGGTTTGAGAAAGTATTGGACATATCATATAATTTCGTATGAAGAGCTAGGAATAGCTTCGAGCCTTTTCCATTAAGGCGAAGCTTGAAGTGTTACGCCGCATCCTGATTGATCTGCAGGATCTGCTCTTTGCTTCTCTTCTATGGCAACCATAATTGGGTCAAGCTTTAGCGAACCACAGCCGATGTGATTCATCGATATTCTTGATCCTTCGTCTTAGATATCCTTCCAGTGCTATCAATTATCTTGCAGTTAATCGCTATTCGTACACCAATCGACTCTTGATTGCCACTCTACGGTCATATTTGCTGGTTTCTCTTCGAGCCGTACCACACACCATGGAAATATAGCCGCTTTCCATAAGGAACAAGCCCACCAAACTGCTCGGAGGAAGGGAAAGCGACATCACTACCAGCGGACACAACTATGATTTCTAGGCGTGCATTTTTTTCTCAGATCTTCTCATACGGTGCAAAATGGATGCTTCAGCCACAATAATGTCACAGAAGAGTCGACTGAACTTCCTTCCCACATACTCTGTATGATATGTAGTTTAAGTGCTGGATATCACGAACATATAGACCACGATCAATGTATCCTGGAGGAATGATCCCATGAGGATTCAAACGAAGATCATCACACTGATCGGATTTTAGTAGTAGCGCGCAACCAACGGGGTTGCTTCTGCAGCTAGTGTCAAAACTATAGCTGTTTCGATTGATGGCTTGAAGTCAAGGATAACAATCCATTTATTTGCCAAGATTGAAACCACATTTCTTCTGGCTGCTTATATACGAAGTTCGAACACAAAGTCTCTCACGATGAAACACTATTTCTTCTGTGATAGAATATTAAGTAGAAGAGCGAAAGCGAACCAAAGTGAATGCAAATTCTTTCTAATGCAAATTCAATTGTGAACACATCTACGTGCATGCCACAATCTGGACGTTGTGATAATGGAATAATAATGGATCATTTAGAAGAGCAGAAGCAAACCAAGGAGCGAACGCAAATCCTTTCCAATGCAAACTCATTTATGTGTGTATGTCTATGTAGCATACCGTAATCTGAACGCAATGATTCTATAGTAATATTTAGGATGAGGAGGAGTTGTCGGGAACATGAAACACATGCGCGAGAGAAGAGCTAAGAGGCATAGTACCACGGCTGCTAGAGAAAATCATCTTCCAGGTTTTTGAGACTCAGAAATAATGACTCAAACGTTTTGCAATGTGTGAGACACAATTTGTGAGCACCGTCAAGGATATTTCCCAGCAGGATTTTGGTTTGTCGGAGAAAAGCGTCCTAAATCGCACATAGAGTCCGGGTTTGATGAGCTCGTCGTTGACGTAGGATAACGTTCCTTTGATTGTAATATTGGTAGTTCCTCCAGGACAAGAGGCGATGCAGGAGGTAAGGATGTTTCCTGTGTTGAAATGGAGAATCAATCGATTGAGATGTCGTGTGGAGCTACATTTTGCTATTTGAGTCTCGTCTGAGCAGACGAGCGCCGTAGTTTTGCCGTCACTAGTAGTGCAGACAAGGTCGAATGTAGCTCCGGAAATGCAACTACAGCAGCCAGTGAGGTCGCTGGTTAAGGAAAGTGCATTAGCTCTTGTGTTGTAGAGATATCAAATTAAGATTCTCCATTACTACCTGTAACTGGAGACACGATCCCACATTGAGTTTTGCAAGAACAGTGTCTGCGTGTTGAGTGAAGAGGAAATTCTTTCCGATTGAAGGGAGTGAAGAAGGTTCCATTAGTTTCTTCAAGTCTTCCATCGGGGCAAATACAAGACATTTTAAGGAATCCATTTTGTGCATTTGCATGTTTCACTCGCGAAAAGACAACGGAATTTTTGAGCGTCTTGAAGGGTGGCACGCTGAAGGTCCAGGCAGTGTGTGGAAGGAGTTGTCCTCGATGGGCTGGTTTGATTATGGCGATGTTGTTTCCGTCTGACATGAAACGTAGAGCTGAGTATTGGTAGCTTTGGTGTGATGGTGCTGAATTCAGTAAAGTCGCAAGTTGTTCCACGAGTGACATTCCCCGGAATAAGCTGCAATCCTTTTTGACGTTATTTTGTTTTCGGTAGCTCGGGTTGACGTGCCGCGTTGTACAGAAGTGCCCAAACTAGGGCCAATTGAAGACGGTTGTATACGCCGATGTGGCATCGCGGTTTGGCCATAATTCGGTAAAAAATGCAGCTATCTTCGCAGCACGCAGGCAACCCCACAAGTCAACATCCACAGGAAAGAATTATTTCTTATCAGAGTATCGGTGGGTTTGACGTTGTCACAAAACTTCTTGGTACAGCTACCGGCTAGGTAACAGCTATGGTGCGATTCTGATATTAGCTCATGGTCTCGTGAGAAAAACTCGATCCTCTTGTGGCAATGATATTGGACATCACGTAGGCTGAACGGAAAGCATTTGCCCAAATGTGACAGTTTCTTGTGGTCGCTTATCTGCAGGCAGGTCTCTTGCTGCAATGGTTGAAGCGCGATCATCGTCGCTTGATTGAGAGTACATTTCGTCGTCGTGTTCTTGGAAATGGTGCAAACGTGCTCATTCGCAGTCAAGGAAGAGAACTGAGATTATTCGATGCTTATTTGTATTTGGAGTAGTATCAGGAGAGTGCAGCTTACAACAGTGCAGCTTACAGCGGTGCGCTTTGGTTTGTTACGTCGCCGTCGAATGACATATCTTCTCAAAAGTGTTTTCCGTTGCATCCATGGGAAGTGATGAACGAGGTAGAGAGAAGAATCGCATGAAAAGGCGCGCCGTTGTTGCTATCAGCTTTAAAAAGGAATGTAGAGGGCAGGGATAGTAAGTAGCGCTGCCGCAGAAAGGGTAAACACAGTATCACTTGTAGAAGACTCCAACATTGTGTATTGTAGATCCATTCCCAACAGAATGTGCATCGTAAGGTTTCACATATGGGGTGAGCTTTGCAGTTCACTTGAGCTTCATGTACTATTGCATTATTCTTGAGTGCTTTGAGTCGAAATCGTACATAATCAGAGAATTAGGGAAGAGGATGGCTTCTGAGACAACATTTCTCAGAAATACACAATAATTGTTGATGCAGACTACCAGCACTTGCAGCAGGACCTTGCTTGTGACCGTTATTCCTCCTTTAGAGCAGTATGATTCTATGGGCATTAGCGGCTGTATTTCAGGTTCGGTGGCTGTGTGCCGCAGTCGAGCAGAATCCAGTTCAGTTTGCAAATGGACGTATGAATTGTTTGAACGCGCGTGTCCAGAAAGCTCATAGCGTACAGCCAGAGAGCATAGTCCGTCAGCTCGTTTGCGGCAATTGGTATGACAGTCACACGGGCACCGAATGTCGCCCTCGTAACTGCGGACCACCCAGTGAGGGGCGATCCTGAGTCTTTAGATCGCGACGGAACTCGTCCATGCAGTGCGTCACTACCATCGCGACTTATGGGTCTTCACATTACGCTCGTCTGGCTTCGTGGGCCGAATGTTATCGCAAGTCGCATCTCGATAATCGTCATATCCGGAAATTGCTGGTACATCCTTGGGTCGGAAAGCAGGTCTACCCCACCTGGCCAGGATTTTCGCATTAAACAGAGCCTGGCTGGGGCTGCCTCTTCGAATGAAACTCCCGTCACCGCGCTGCGCATCTTGATGAGATTGTATATCGCAGCGTTGTCCACTCGGCCCGCTGCTGTCACCAGATTCAGCATGGCGCCGGATACCTGACTGGAATCGGTGGTTCTCAAGGCCGCGTCGTAAACGTCGCCAAATTGCGTAGTGGCGACGGGCTGGTGAGTCCGGGAGGTCTGCGTGATCGTTACTCGTGCTGCGGATACCAGCTGCCGGCGGAGTAATATGCTCGCCGGTATCTGACAAAGGTCTCATAATCTTCAGTATCTGATAGGACGTTACTGTCCGAATGGATAGTGACAGCCAGTGCGCAGTGCTTCTCCTGATCCAGAGCGGCGTAGCGTGTTCTTAACCCAAGCACCGATTCGCCGAAGTATCGGTGAGGTACGGCCTGAAATCCCATGGCTAGCATTGGTGTTACCGGCAGCGCTCGCTCCATCGTCAGCCGGCCGCCTTCGCGTATGGGCCGCGAAACAGGGTCAGGGACTCTGCTGCTTCCTTGATCTCGTCCTGGGAGCGTAACCCACTCAGCCCCAAGTGGGACGCTAGTTTCGTCGTCAGTTTCTTGCTGCGCTTCCGACATCCTCCGACAGACTCAAAGTTCTCGAGCCAGATGAAGATGAGATGCCGGTGTAGATAGATGAAGATTCACTAGTGTTCGCCTTGTGCGCTACGTTTTTTTTTTACCAGGTAGTCTCCTGGGGTTGAAGTAATCGACTGACGTGAAAGTCTCTCTCTTACTCGCTCGCAGAAAATTGCAGGTTCGAATCCTGCCGTAGTCGCCAGTTGTTTCGATTGATGGTCGTATAACCAAGGATAACCAATCCATTTATTCCAAGATTGAAACCACATTTCTTCTGGCTGCTTATATACGAAGTTCGAACACAAAGTCTCTTACGATGAAACACTATTTCTTCTGTGATAGAATATTAAGTAGAAGAGCGAAAGCGAACCAAAGTGAATGCAAATTCTTTCTAATGCAAATTCAATTGTGAACACATCTACGTGCATGCCACAATCTGGACGTTGTGATAATGGAATACTAATGGATCATTTAGAAGAGCAGAAGCAAACCAAGGAGCGAACGCAAATCCTTTCCAATGCAAATTCATTTATGTGTGTATGTCTATGTAGCATACCGTAATCTGAACGCAATGATTCTGTAGTAGTACAGAAAAATAGCAATGCTCACCACGTGCGCTTACCATTCGCGTACCTCCTTTTTTGTAATTCTCAATTCCACATTTTTAGTGCATTCTGCATATTTACTCATCTAAATTTCATGTTAATATAAACATCAGGACCAGAATTATGATAGAATCCGTCCTACGTGATTGTACACAAAACTCCACATAAACCAAAAAGAGCTACTCATGTTTTGTTTTCTGTCTAATGTAGACTGCTGCAGAAAAATAACCAAATCTTAGCACTACATGTCAGTAATGAAGTAGAAACCATAAGTGTGTCGGTGAACAATAGAAAAGCGCTGTTTTATGAGCAAGCCGCAATAACATTACGCTGAAACAAATGCATGCAAAGCTTGAAACGATGTAAGGAGAGGGTGGAAACTCTTGAAGCGAATCACGAAAGACGAAGGTAAAACAGCGACAGCTAGGAACTAAAAAGGGAGAACAAGGATTTAGCGCAATTGCAAAACCTAAAGCAGGAAGACACAAACAACAAAAAACGGTGAGACAGATCTCCTATAACGCAATAACGACAAATTAAACGGCGGGGATACAAGCGAAGCGGGCTAAAGTATTACAATTCCCAAAACTTCAATATGAACGTAAATTATGGATATATGAAACAGAAAGAGTAGAATAGAATGCTTACAGGTGAATGAAGAATAATATCAGTAGAATGTGGAATAGCAAACAGAAGTTAAAAGAGTGCAGCATAACAGAATTGAATAGGTCCACTTCCTCCGAAAACCACACAGCAACTTTGGCGCCGAATTGTCAAGCTTACCTCACAAGATTAGAGTATGCACAGTGTGGCAATACAGCAATGCAGTACAATTATGGTGCTAATAATGGTGCAAATACTACCACAGCTGTCACAGCATAACCAGAGCTATCAGCACACGCGGCGCCACCGCTCGCCGCCGACGGAAACCGTGCTCGATCCCTCGTTGCTAGTATCCATAGCAATGATGGTGCACGCTAGTGTTTCTGAAGCCACGAGTATACCCAGATGTTCGACACATTCGCTCTCATTTTGGCAACATTGCTGTCAAGAATCCCTGATTCCAACCATTATTCTGACCATGCACTTCTATTCTTGACTCGATTGATGCTTCACTTGTTTTCCAACATATATGCACGTATTTCCAATGACCATATAGGCGAGCTAATGAGGTTTGCCTAGAAAATGGCCAGTTGATCACTTTATTTTCTCAATTCCTTGGAGACATAGTTAATCGGCAAAAGAGGTTTATTATTCAAGTCCTAGGCGAACGTCCTCGGTTAAATGAGCTTCTCATACTGTCAATGATGTTGGAACGCCCGCTGTTTAACCGCACTATTCCATTCCACTGCAGACTCTGCATATCTCACGTTTGAATACTTTAAAGGCTTTCATTTGGGGGAATCAGTAACTTTGCTATATATAACGATAATTTAATTTGGTTCGTTGCCAAACATATATGGCACACTTTTACAAAATCGTTGCAAAACAAATTGGCATCTCATCAGCGAGCTTTCTGTATTCAGTTTCAATCATAAATAGCCAAGCCGTCTCCTCTAACGTCGTATATGTTACTACTCATCGTGTTGACTTGACGGTGCAATTGGTCTCCTTTCCACGTTTCGTAGGTTCCCTTTTCGAAGAGGCCCCAGTGCCCTTCGGAGAGGGAGGGAGGGGCGAGAGTGAAGGCGACGTTCCCCTAGTTTTTTGTTCTTCTAAGCAATTTCTGATTATAGATAATACGGATCCTTCAACCTCTTTACCAAAGAGAATTAATTAAATATGCTAATGGCTGATTTGGACTATTTTTCTTCTATTTAATAATTGCATATTTTTTATTTTTTTTTATTTTAATAATTTCAAATATGGCAAGTTTTAATGAAATGAATATGCCCTAATTCTTTCAATGTTTCGGGTTTCTGCAATGTAGTGGGAATACATCGTGGATAAGAAGATTGTGTAGGACTTGCAGTTTTACGTCGATAAACTGGGACAGGAATTGCTCAGAAGAACAAACATTCTGACAGAACGTCGCTTCCCCCCCCCCCCCCAAAAAAAAACAAAAGGAGTCTCTCCAAAGAGGGGGGGGGCGGTCAATACAGATGCAGGGGCACTACTGTATCATACAGGGAGGGCACCAAAAATAGCAGCTCCCCGTCCCACATTCCAAAACGGCATTAATTTTGACGCTGCCGAAACCAACGTCCAAATGAGTTCAATTGAGTCGAGGCCCAACCATTATGATTGGGCGGCCATGCGGCCACATCATAATGATGGGCACCATATCAACTATGCCCATCGTGGGTGCGACGAAAAATATTGATGAGGCGCGGCCAATGGCGGCGTAGCTGCACTCTTTTTTGCCCCCCCCCTGTATTAGGCCTAACAAGAGATAGGTTATAGGCAGGGGCTGGTGAGGATATGATGTGATATGATTCTGACTGCAGAGCGGCCCGGGCGCCATGGCGGCGCTCGCGCGCTGACGCGCACACCGCCTGCAGCAAGGCGCGACGTGCATGGCTTGCCAATACCAAAACTGTTGCACTCCGCCCTGCTTTTTCACCAGAACCAACTTGGGGCTGGGGCAAAAAGCCGCCAAGCTTGCAAAGCTAGGAGTCTTTGTGTATATCATACATGAAAACAGCATTCACAAGCGAATCTCATCGGCCTAGCAATAGACATGCACATCTGCTCAACCTCCTCCCGCTCCTAGTAAGACACCTGGCTTCACTCCATAACATTACGGTCGTCTTCTGGGCTGAAAGTGTCAGGAGCTCGTTCCATATCTCCTGCTTCTTAACCTTGAGCGGTAACGCAAATGACTTTAACGAACGTCCCAAAACGCGTGCAAAATAAACAATTCCAATCCAGCCGTGGCAGGGTTGACAAATTGCTGCGCACTTGCGTTGGAAAAACATTGTTATTCATTTCGGCCCGCTCTTCAGGTCATTGTTTTGCCAAACAAATATTCTCGAATATCTTCACGCACGTTCAACTGAAGTTGGACCGCGTGACGCCATCGCATCCCACAGGGGTGACCCAAGCGCAGATAGCAACGCAAACTTCATGTTTTCGAGCACATCGCGTAGGACTCAGTGCTTCG